TGATTGAAAAAAGCAAAAACAAATAAAATTGCGTTCCTTATGCATTCGTTCTCCAAACCAAGCAACACGAATAGATGAGAGAAGAGAAGCAAACGACGAACATATGAAAAAGATTAAATAAAAATAAAAGTGTTGGAGTTGCTATCGTATATATTAATCACATTGGAAAATCAATATCATTCCTAAATTATTGGGTTTTCCTAATCAATTCAAAGTCGATATCCTGCCTAAATTATTGGGATACATCGATTCAAATTCATTCGATAACGTATGTAGAAAGGAAGCAAAAAATATTGTCCCTGATTTTAATCTTTATTTCTGACTTCCTGATTTATGAGCAATGTAATTATTGACTGATTTTGTTTCTTTTATATTTGTTGATTTATAGCCTTTGATTTATTGATTTGTTTCAAAATCAATATCCTTACTAAATAACTTAGTTGGAAATTTATTTAGAGAAGACAAGTGGGATTTTCATGCATACTAAAGACTAAAGAGTAATAGAGTCAGGATAAAGAGAAAACTAGATTATCTTTTCTCATTGGAAAATCAAAACCTTGAATATAATAAGGAACAAATTACCAACAACAAAATATCCAGAACGAGCAAAGCAAATTTGGGCTTATTAAAACCTTTTCTTCCATCATACCTCCATGAACTTTGAGCCCAACAGGCAAGCCTATTATTTAGTTATCCAAACCCAATTAAACCAACAGCCTATTTTTTTAGTATTTGGGAATTGGGTTAAATTTGTGTTCTTTCGATCGAGTGATTAGATGAAAAAAAAAATAGTTGGATTTATGATATGTATACTTCTTGTTAGGAAATAGTTATTTCAATTTTAAAAATCCCGCTGCAAATGTACAATAAATCAATTAATGTAAAAACATCGATACATCAACATCCAAAACGAAGTACCATCTACTCCATTGTGGTTTCAAGTTTCAACCTACCAGTTTATACGTAGTTTTTATTTTTTAATCACCAAAATAATTTGTTTTCCAATCTTCACCTTCCACTATTAGCTTAAAGGTTGTGTTTGGGTTGCTAGCTCAAAACCTAGTTTTTAGCTTATAAATTAGCTTATTAATAAATTATCTCAAATAACTTGTCAAAAAGTTAGTCTTATCAGCTATGATAAATTACCTTTTTCAGTCTCACCAAATATCAAATTGAAATAAGCTAAATCCATGACTTTCATTTTTCATATATTTTTTTTGCTTACACTTATTATTTCATGGTCAACAATGTTTTTTATCATTCTAAAAGGTGAATTGATTACCAAAGAAATTATTTTTGTATGGATTCTCAAATTAGCATGGTCCCCATCTGGCTATATGGTCTAAACCTAATACACAAGAATAGACAATTGTAGGTCTTTGTTTTTCTTGCAAAAAATTAAATGGAAAGCATGATAATTCAATAAAGAGGTCAAGAAAAAAGGGCTATAAAAAATATGGGTTCGTAGTGCAATAAAGGCTTGACATAAAATGATAAACTAATTATACCATCATCATAACATACGATCATCTCAAATTTATGAAACCTGCAACCCAAAAGAAAATGTACATTACTAAATTATTTACGACAGCATCATAGCATATTATGACATGTTTTAGATTTACTTCAATTCCTAGACTCATAGTACAAGAAAGTAACATCAAACAAAAATTCGAATAAAAAGTCATAAATTTTTGAAGAATAAAATGTTAAAGTTAAGGCCTTCATAGAGAATCAACTTTTTGACCTAAAAATGACACAAAGAATGCCACCAAAAATCGACCATGACAATGAGAATCATTGGTTACTCATGAAAACCGTTTAACATGTTACATCTTGATGTTAATAAAAGTATTCTACGATTAAAACTTGTTCTAGAGTCCAAGCCATCATCAAATTGTGTTAAAAGTTCTATGCTAATCATTTCATCGAACACCTTCCCTACAACCTTGTAAATCATTCCCACATAAAAAATTCAAACATATGTCCAACTGAACGACAGTTCTCCTTTTCAGTTCTACTATTAATCAACAGTTTCTTGATATTGATAGGGAAAAATGAAAATAAAAAATAAAAATCTCCAATCAAAAAAGGAATTCGTAGAAAGGGAGGAATCTAACTGAATCTGTAGAATAGAGAAGTTGTGATGCGTCTTTTGAAACTTACAGAATTTCAAGCAAATAGCGATTGATGATTGCAGGTAATGTTTGTTTTGAAATTACGTGAAGATCGAGGGCTTTAGCAGAAGGCTAACAACAGAGAATGTCTTTAAACATTCTGCTTTTATGAGCATACTTTCTGAAGGGTCGTTGTTACACATTCAAATTACTTGAGCTCGAGCTCCAAAAAACAATAATTTACTTATCATGTTTCCAAATTTATATAATTAAAATTACTTGCTAATCGTTATAATTGAAAAAAAAAAATAACAGCGAAAAAAAAAATCTATCATTCGATAAAAGGATTTCATGTTAATATGTAAAAAATATAATATCAAATGTTTTAATTGAAGTTCAAATTTTAAATTCGTCTTGCTTTGCAAATGATTAAAAAGCGATCACATACTCATGTTGCATGATTTGCACCCTAATGACAATAAATAAATAAATAAATAATGGCACTCCCCCATCCCCACACACAGTATAATAATTTAGATATGCTGCAATATGTAATAAGGATATATTAGTGTTCGAAACTTTGTAATTCTTAAGTATTCTAGAATTAAAATATCAATATACTCACGGATACTTACAATTGTAGCAAATGAAATGAATAAAGCATACAAAACTAATCACTGTTAAACTAAAAAGATGGGGATAAAAGTGAGATCTTTTAATAATACGAGTAGCTAAGATAAGGGTATCCATAATGCGTTAGATTTATAAGAGTTTAATGAATTGACACATCATCATTTTACTTACTATACAATTATATATTAATTTTCTTATAATGCATTGAACTCAATAAAGTTCAATAAAATATATACTCTATTTAATAGTTAAAAGGTTTCATTTTTCTCATTGAACATTGAAGAGTTCAATGGTTATTGAACTCTATAATCATTGAATCTCAACATGGCATCCTACAATGATGGAGTTTAATCCGTCGAATGTCCATTAGACATGTCACCTCATTCAATTCTCCCATTAAACTATGCGTTGTGAATGCTCTAAGAGGTATAGATAATGCAGATCGTATGAGCATGAAAGGTTCTAGAATAAAGATCACGATATATGTACCTCATTAGTAATGCTAGAATTGCTTTATTAGTTGGTTGGGTATCACATTAGTGTGTTAGGTTTTCTATAATTAGTTTGTTAATGTTTTCTTTTACTAAATGTTTATGTATGAGGGTGGTGAAATAGTTAGGTTTTCAAATTATTCTTTTTTAACTACTTAGCTCACACATTAATATCCTCTTGAATCAACATCATCCCATTATTGAACGAGATGTACCTTATTAACACTACTGATATTTGAATTATTAGCCAATTGAACGATATGCGTCTTATCAATATTGATATCGTTAGGCTATAAGTCATTTAATTATTAATTATTAATCAAAATTCGGTTATTTATAGAATAACTATTTATTTAGTGTAGATATGTCCATATCACTCCATCCAGATTTACCGTATATTATACAACTATGTCATTTTCTCTCCACCGTTGACCAAATATTAAAAATGAATGTTGTTAGAACTTTAACATTGTCGTAACAGACAACATGTATTGATCATTGATTTTAAACCATAATCTTGATAAATTTAAGCTTATACATGTTAACAATGAAATAAGTACACATGCTAGCATATGAATTCCTTCATTTAAGCTTTCATTGTCAGTTAAAGCTCAGGGTTGGTCTTGGGCATGTGCGAGGTATTCGACCGCACATGGTCCGTCGCATTTATGGGGCCCGGTTTTTTTTACGTACATTAGTATTGGTGATAAATTACACCCCGTTCCCGAGTTGTAGCAAAGAAAAGAAGAGAATAGAAAAGAAAGTAAGGAGAGAAAATAAGAGAAGAGAAAGGAAAAGAAATTTGCCTTTTGTGTTCCCGAGTTGGAGAGAAATGGAAGAAAAGTTAAACATTTTGTTCTTTCTCTCCAAATCCTTCCAAATCGGAAGGAAAGTTAGGAGGGAAAGTGATCCCTCCATTTCCTTCCACTTTCCTCCTTTAATGAAACTCGGGAACACCAATTTCTCTTACTTTCCTCTCACTTCCACCAATTTCCTTTATTTTCTCTCCTTAAATTGAACTCGGGAAACGGGGTGTTAGTGAAGGATCAGTGACAACTTTTGTTTTGATAAATTTTACAACAATTATTGACTTATCAATCATTTTTGCTTATATTAAAAAAATATATTTAAAGATTAATTTTGTCAGACATTCAAAATCAACAGAAAGATCGTGTGAAGAAAACAAATCATATCATGTATGACAACTTGTATAATGTTTGAAACTAAAATCAAAATCAAAGGTATAATGCATGTAGCTATAGTATTCAAGTATTTCAAATGTTATTTTTTTAATATTTTTGCAAATGTGACGAATTTTAGAGAAAAAATTATAAATTTTCATTCACTTCCGATTTAATTGGAACACCATTTCATTACATGTGCATGAATTCGTCTATCATTTTAAAATATAAAATGAACCAACATTCATACGTATTTTGAAAAGTGAAAGTGTTGAAGTAGAAGATATGGAATTGCTCTGTTAGTGTATAGAAATATTAAATATTATTAAATTATATTATAATTTTTATTAGAACAAATCTTATAAGAGTTAACTTTATTAACCTCATGCAATACACCTAAAAATGTAATCACTTTATTTATAATGATATAAAATAATTACCTTTAATATAAAATTTCGAATAATTCTACTTTCAATTTTGCCATTAAATAGCAAAAGATTAACACTAATTAATAGATATCTTAATCGTCACTTGGTGACGATTCAAAAAAATTTAAGAAACAAAAAGATGAACTCAAATCAGAAATCTAAACAACAGTAGACAAACTTCTTAAATCTGGAGATTTTAGTCTGACGCATGCTCTGTAAGTTCTTCAGCATCTCGTCGACGGAGCAGATAATTCCGGCCGGCGAGTTTAAGTAGAATTTAGGAGGAGGGATCGGCGGAGACCACAATCCACTCTGTTCGTAATCAAAATCGAATTCCGACGTATCCACAAACTTATTTAGCAGTCGATCTGACATTGGTTTGGATACGATTTGAACGACGTTTGAAGAATTGTGGTTGGAAGACGATGAGGTTTCTGTAAGTGTTGATGAGTTTTCAAACATGGCTGCTCAATGCTCATGAATTTTGATTTTGAGGAAGACAGAGAGATGAAATGAGTGTTATGTTATGGACTGGGATATTGTTGTAGGACCTTCTTGTACTCTGTAGCCTTTACGAATAAAGCAGAGATTTATTGAACAACTCATGAATGTTTCATTGAAAAGCAACGTATCAATGATGGAGCAATGAATTAACCCATTATTGTATTTTTGTTAATTTAGGTAGCAAATTATTTTATTTATTATTTAGGTCACTGAATTTAAATAAAACGTTACTTAAATATTTGAATTATTTGGTAACTGTAATTATGAACATTTGACTCCATAATTTATAAAAATATCAAAAATCACATCACAAAGCTAAGAGAAAAAAAAAAAAAAAAAAAAAAAAAAAAAATCACAACCAACATAATGATGCGAGTGTTAATTATTAACATAGTAATTATATGCATTGTTATATGTTTAATATAAAAATCACATCGTTCAAATTACTATTTAGGTAACATTAATCATTCATTGTACGTACTTCTGTGAGATTATTAGCATGAGAGTCTATGTGTGAACTTTTAGAAGAAATTCAGAAGGTTTGTGAAACGACTGATATGCTCTCTTTGTATCTAGAAACTGGTTCTAATCAATAAGAATTCAATTTCAGAGTAATATCGTATCTTATTATTGTGTAATTGCAACGTCAGGTACCAATAATTGTAATTGCAATGTTGATAATTTAAATTTTAAAATCTTTCGAAAGCTATAAAGCCAACAAAACGTGGATGGAAGATTGTTGAAATAAATTTATCTTTTTATATTAATATTTTATAGTTATAGGTAATTAGTCATAAACAAATATAATTGAAAACTATGCAGCACGTCATTATAAATTATGGCACTTTAATGTCACATGGTTACCAACACAAGTAATAGTCTTTTCTTTTAAAACAACAAAAGAAAACCTTTTGAACTATTATCAACCCATTTGTACCACTCACCTTATTATCGTTAATTACAAGAATATTTATTATCGTTAATCACAAGCATACTTGTTCGACTTGTGGATTGAATGGATACATATTCAATTATTCAAACCAAGAAACTGACTTTTATTGACTTTGTCTTTAAAACCAAGTGTTATTTCTGTTGTCGATTTCTCAAATAACCAATCAAGCAATTTATCAATAAATTTTGAAGATGGAAAGCGTATTTAAAACGAAAAGTAAAAAACCATGAAACCAGAGTCAATAAATTGATCCCACTGGGCACTGCTCCACCACCGATCGGATTAAAAAAAATGAACCAACGATCAAGAATAAAACAATCAATAGTAAATATAAATGTATGCTGATGTATACAAAAGCATTTAGACTACAAACTTTATCATTCATATAGGGGAAGAAGGTGTTACAAGGCTACACCAGAGCAGTCGAATATAAGATGGAGAAGGGAAGATGGAATAGTATATTAGCACATGGTATTGGTTTTCTTTTGGTTATTCCCTATAAGAAGTTAACAACGGTGTTTAACTTAACACGTGGTGTAAGGTATTTGATTATTGATCAAATGAAAAACATATTAATGGTAGTAAACATAATATATATGAAGATCATGGAAATGCCAAAAATCTATACAAAAATAAATAAATAAATAAACCTGTGCTAAAGATTTAGTAGATTTTTTATTGATATAATTTTCGAGTTTAAAATTTAGAGGAAGAAATAAAATAAGCAAATATCATAAAAGCTACAACATTTTCAAGCATATTTTGGAAAAGTCTTATTATTATTATTATTATTATTATTATTATTATTATTATTATTTGGTTCCGCCACAAATGGGACATAGAGTTATCACTCTAATCCATTTAACATGTTTCATGGTTAACTCCAGTATCTTATTTGTAAAAATCAGTCCTAAAATTAAGTTTAAAATTCAAATTTGATCCCTTCAATTTGCAAAAAATTACACCACATGTCCAAAATTCGGTTTTATGTTGTTTAACTTCTTTATTTCTTTTATTTTTTAGTCAAAACTGAACTTTCTTTTATATGTTTTCATCTTTTTTTTAATATTTTTCGTTTTTTTTCTTTTTTTACGATTTTCGTATTTTTTTAGTTTTTTTTCGTATTTATTTTCGTTTTTTTCATATCGGAGGTAAAGTCCGTTTGGTATATAGAGTGTATTGTTTGAAATCTCACTTTAAATACCTTGCTAAATCCAAGCTATACATCATTCTCGTAAGCAGGATCAATCAATATAATGACTTGAAATTACTGATAAATCTTATTTATAGATTTATAATAACGATTATGACTTATAAATATAAATTACACTAAGATAGAGTTGAGTGTAATTTATCTTACAGTGATTTCCTAGACAAAAGTCCAAAAATTATACTGACGTAGCTTCTACTTTATATATATATTATTACTTCAAGGATCGTACGACTTCGCCAAAGACTAAGACTAAGCAAAATGGTGCTATAATCGAAGGAAATCGAGAGAGGAGAATGGGAAGTGTGGAAAACAAATGAGGGTGGCTGGCTATTTATAGGGCCAAAATCGGGCCTGCACATCGCACGCAAACTGTGTGCGTCATGCACCCTTGAGACGTTGTTCCTCCTGTTTTCTGCCATGTGTCGCAAATATGGTGGTCCACGCACCACCTTCTAGAAGGTGCGCGTCATGTTGAGCGTGACACCCAATATGGCTTGAGTGACCTTAAACTTTTCAAGAACTTGTGGGTTAGGGAGAATAATTGAAGGAGGTGAAAGAAGTATGATTTCCATGGGATATCATCTTCATTTAGAAAAACTTGTTTCAAGAGATTTGGGAATATCATAGATGTCTAAACCAGACATCTTCTGGGAGATATTCAAGATAGTTGATTTAAAGTCCTTAATATAACATCCAATATGAAATATTAAGGCTAGGACCTAACACAATACTTTTATAACTTGGAAGAGGGATGTTGTAATCCAAGCTATAAAATATTTGAAGGTAGATGAATGATGATTCACCAATTTCCACCAAGATAAACGAAATGTATTATTAGGTTTTAATTGGTTTTGAAACTCCTAGATCTTTTAGATTCATTGAACTTTTCAATGGCATGTTTCAATCTCGAGTGTGCCCTTCAGGTTTTGTGATTGGGATGTCGAGGATCACAAAACAAGGTGTGAAGTAACCATGCAAATATACTGGGTACCCTTAATATTTACCCCTTAATCGATGTGCCGGTTAACCACACACGCTCCACTAACGGCTTAAACAAAGTGCAAAGTGTAATTTCATGGGTTAACACCTTATTCACATTTTTCCTAAGTAACAAAGATTGGGTATTAATAAGAGTTTAGTTACTTAGTATTTATCATTAATACTTTTAATGAAGGGAGAATTCTAGTCCTTATCCTACCCGTTCGGCTAACGGCCCTCCACCAATCAAGGAAGCAGTGGGTGAGAGTGGATACCCATTAAACTGTCATTTTATAGGCAGTAACCTTATACCCCCTTATAGATCGGCTTCGTGAATGAGGTCTACTAACGGTAAGACTGACTTGCTCTTATATATATATATATATATATATATATATATATATATATATATATATATATATATATATATATATATATATATATATTGTTAACTTATAATATTATAAAGTATAAGGGTTGAATTTTAACTTTTAAAATTCTAATGGCTAACTTGGAATTAAAGTATTCATAAGTGAAAACTTTTCAAATTCCAAAACTTGAGGGCAAGTTTTGAAACTATTCAAAACTAATTAATTCCATAACTTATGTGTTTAAAGTAGTTTTAAATAAAAAACTCTTCAAGTTCCATAACTTGAGGACAAGTTATGGAAGACTTTAAACTAATAAAAGAATGTACCTTTTCATTATTTTATAACTTATGGAATTAATTAAGGTTACACATTTTATTACTTAATGAAGTGACTCTTGAACCTCCATAACTTGAGGACAAACTCCTCATTTTTTGTAACCATTGCCAACTTTTATAAGTTTTATGAAACTTAAATGTGATTTTCATATAACTTGATGGCAAGTTACAAAAACACATTTTAGAATCAACTTTTAGATTAAAATGGATTGAAAACACATAATCAATTAACTTTTCTATTAATCTAAGCAACTCATAAGAACAAGATAATTCAAATCAAACTTTTTCATGTAATTAGTCTAATCACTAAACTAATACAAAACATGAATCTATTCACAATTATCTTTGAAATTGGATTAGCATGAACATTACCACGTCAAAAACAAGTTTATAAGTCCAAAAACAGTTTATGGTAATGTTCCTAGTCCATTTCTAGCAAAAAAAACTCGAAAATATGATGTATGGGGCTCCTACTCGTCGAGTGTATCAACCTACTCGACGAGTAGGATGAGTTTTGCCTTGGACACGACAAGTTCATCAGTGGACTCGGCGAGTCCAGTTCCCAGAGAGCCAGAAAATCGATTTTTTCAGCATTTTGCATCAAGTATAATTGAAAACAAGCCTAGGCTTTGATACCATTGTTGGGTTTTGAGCATTCTAACACTCCTAAGTGTACATGCAACCCTAAATACTTTGGATCTATGTTTTCTCTATTATACATGCAAATATGATCTTTCCAAGGTATTCATCCTAACTAGCATAATAACATTGATTCAAATGAATATATCAAGTTAGAATTACATACCTCTTTGATGTAGATTGTCTTCATGAAGCTTGAGTGCCTAGTGCCCCAAGTGTGACACCTCAAATGGTTCACACAGCACCAAATACACTTGAAATAAATTGGGAGAACATACACACTTCGTGAAATCGGCTAGCCCTTTCTATTACCCATAGTGGTTGATTTTCTCCAAGAATAAGATCATTATATAGTTAGGGTTACACCATGTAAACCCTAATTGTCATGGCCTTTCATTTCCATTATCCATGGGTACAAAATACACCATGGAGCATCCATGGAGCATCTTATGGGTTTTAGCCCAATTTGA